ACACATTTATAAGTATTCTACCTCTTGGAGTTGGATCTAATTCTTTTACCCACCGACTTTTTTTTTGAAGCCCAGGACGGTAATAGTCACTGATCTCTGCAATAATAAAGGTGAACTTATATGGCATAGTAAATAAAACTTTGTGAAAACAACAAGATGATCCAAGAATTTCATACATGCTTCTTGCTACTATCTCAAATGGATACATCAGTGATCATCAATATTTTAATTTATCCTCCTATTAATCGACTGTTAGTGGTTAGTTCGTTTAATTCCAGATCAACCAAATTTTCATTTACAAAGTAATGACAAAGAAGAACGTTCAAAAAACCTCCGAAGTCATCATAATACTATTTCCCTCCTTCTTTCTCCCCTATTTTAATTCTTTTCGATCTGAAGAGTTCGTAATTTCACGACAATTTTTTTTTGGCGCTTTGAATAAAAGAATTAACTGTTAGGCATCTTCATTTGTAAAAACAGATATTAAATAAAAAAGGTGAAACATGTACCGACAGGAACGCGTGAAATTTCCGATAACAAATTGCGACCAATGATAAGCGATCTTTCAGTCAGATAACCCCAAGAATATCGTTGAGTATTATATCCAATGACTATATCCGGATCGTACCTATAATTCTAGACAGTAGTAACATATCATGCTAAAATGATCAGTTAATAAGTTAATTCAGTAATCAACTATTAAATTTACCCGACAGTGACCCTGACAGCGATACAGTATTAAAACAAAAGAAAGTAATATTTGGTAACGGAGAAAAGACGAAAGAAACAAACCTTCGAACAACGTTGACAAAAGCATCGAACAGGTCAACTTCAGAAGATACGAAAGTATAAAGGTCATTCTGTCCAATCAAACCGTTATCCATGTTCAACAAAATACCATCCACATCATTTATTTCATCTTGTACGCAAACATTCATTGAAATCGTATAAAATATCCCCAGAATCTAAACATGCATCGAAAGAACATTTTGACAAAATCCAGCAATTCAAGGCTAAAAGTATTACTAAAATAAAGGCAATAAAAACAAAGCCATTAATCGTTTATAATGGTATATCTTACCTGATCATACTGTGGATCGGGTACTGGCATTCCACGAGATGATAATGCAAGGATCTCCATAGACATCACGCAGAGGTGATGAATATCTGTTTGTTCTACTTCGTCAGTCCACGGAGTTGCTGAAGGTGCAACTAAAGTTCGTTCCAGTTTCTCTCTTGCATTTTTATACTGAAATTTTATAGCAATTTCATTACTCTAATATTATTCACTTTAGTCAAACCAAATTTCGCAATTCTCTAGTTTTTTCAAAATTTCATTTTTTCAACTACTCGACTAATGAAAATTTTACGTCGATGAAGCTGGGATTTTCGGTAAACAATTCGCTAAAAAACTGATCAACAACTGCTTCCTTTTTCGGCTGAGATGCACTTTCAACAGATTCGCCTGAAGCAATATACGTAATAAATATAACAGTCATTCGTAATTTAAAATTTCGCTGTAATCTTCACATTTTATCGGATCCATCAAGTGAAGCAACACTTCAATTCAAAGGAAAATTATCAAATCATTACTTGGATAATCAGATGTATAAAAGATACAATTATTCATAACGATTCTAAAATTTCCTGAAAATTTTAAAAAGCACGAAAAATGAAACCAAAACCTGTACTGCAAGGCTGTTGTTCAATATCACATATCTTATTCGTCTTCTTCCGAAGCGGTAATCGCTTAGAAGGGCGCAACCACTGTTCGGTTTTTGGAAACATTGCTTCGAAGCTGCAAAATAACAACTTGCAAATAATTTCCAAAAGAAAAATTCATCGAAACCACAACAATATACATCAAGGAAAAATACTACCGAATTATCGCAAATTTTTTTGAAGATTAAACTGTTTGCGAAGAATGATGTCCATGGCTCTAAGGCGTATTTGGTCAATATTTTAGACCAACATAAATGTGTAGGGAAAACAGCTCATTAGAAAATAATTTAAATTTAATTCCAATTAGCTGAAAAAAAAACGCTTACTCTTTCTGAACAAGCTTTTGTTGCCCCTTCGGAATCCATGCACTCTCGATATCTACTTCATAACTTTGCGCACAATGGATTACCTCCTAAACAACGATATGCAAACAAAATCACAGGGAGCTGTTGAGTAATAAATCAAAATATAAATACTGGAAACTATTTAGAGTCATTTTGAAGACTAACCTCATTTTCAATCCAATCATCAGTTCGTTGAGAAAGTTCACTTCTTTCCCAACTGAAAAAAAGTCACATGATTATTCTTTTACTTTTCAATATGATCTTGAAACAATTAATAAAATGGTAAGAATGAAAAAACTGTTCATTGTGTGGTTGCATTTAGCGTTACTTACTGTAGTACAGAATCAGTTTAACCAAGAAAAAGTACGTACTTGTTAGATGTTTGAGAAGTTTTTGATAGAAATGAGAAAATTGAGCGTTGTGATGATGCACCAGAATCTCGTAAGGCTTCTTCCGAATGGTCTGAATTAATCGCTGAAGCAGTTGGGGTTCTGATACTTTCCAATGGACTTCCGAACAAATCATCGCTAGTAGTTGACTGTAAGAGATATCTCATTAGTGTGGATCCTTTTGTAATATTTAGATTTCATTATAAAAAAAGAAAACGCAAACTCGAGATATCTTAGAAACAAAGAGAGTGCCTTAATTGAATAAGAAATGAATAAACTTTTGAAGCATTCAAAAAAGCAAAACAATTTTGTGCAACCGAAAGAATAAAAATTCTACTTAATAAAATTCCATGTTCATTTCCATTAAATTTTCTATTCAGTTATTCATAGTGTTATAAGAAATCCAAAATAATTTACAAAATATTAAGCCACTACCAAACCAGTAGAATGAATTTGCAAAATTTTAAAATCTTGTCCATCAAATTAGACCTGCTGGCTACTTTTTTCGGAAGATTGTCCAATTTGAGGCATATTTTCGATACCAGATGTACGCGAAACCATCTCATCCTCGATATCATTATCGTCACTATCACTTTCATCAGAAATACCTTGAACAAAATCTGTATCAAATTGCTGTAATCTGGATCGAAGTGTTGAAATGAGTAGAAATTTATGACAAATGAATAAAACACTGAAACAAGTAATAATGCAGTAAAATAAATAGTACAGCAATTGTATAAGATGAAAAACAAAGATTTCGTACATGAATTGGTGCTTTTTCTAAGCAACGTTTAACAAATAACAAATCTCACAAAATTAAATGTGCATAAGAAGCCACGTAAGAGTGCGTAATTTCCAGATAACTTTGTTTGGATTTTCAAATCTAAATACCGAGAAAATATTTAATACTTATTTGTTCAACGAAGGCTCAGGATGTATTTACCTGTAGCATCCATAGATCTTACTGTTTCATACACTGCTCCAACTTTTTCTCGCAAATCAACATCCTGCAGTTACCGACACCGTTCAATTATTCTGTCATAATTTTCGTTACCAGATTCCAATTTTTGCAATACTAAAAATTTTGATAAAATAACCTCCTGAAATTCCTGCTCATTGTCTTCTATTAACTCTTCCATTTCATCCACATCTTCCAAAAATAGTTCTTCATCAAATATACTGGTTCCTGTTGTTTCAAAGTCATGTCCAACAGAATCATTTCTTCCAACCCTTCTAATATCTGTAATTTGTTCAAAAATTAAAAAGATTTGATGAAATGAAATTCAGGGAAAATAGAAATATGGAAAATGTCCTTCACCATTTGGAATGTGAAAAGTGTCGTTCTGTGTAGTGCCAAAGGAAAGAGTAGAAGCACTGCTTTTGAAGAAAGTATGTAAACGATTCAAATAATCTTTTTCTCGTTCGGTAGCAGGTGATGGTCTTTCTTCTGAAAACTTAGTTAATAAATTACAATTTAATTCCACGCATTATTCAAGATTCTGCATCGTGAATCAGACCGGCGTTAATCGTTTCTGATGGCCAGCAATATATAAAAACCGGAAGTCCATGATATTATTCTGTAGGTATAGCAATTTTCAAAATCTACTTTGTGACGACTCGCTAATCAGTTCTTCACCCTTCTTTTGACGACGTCGCTGTTCGTCCTGCCATATATAATTCAATCCCGGATTGCTAGACATTTCTAAACATGATACCGTGTGAATCAAAATATGAAAGTTTACTATTAGCTCTTAGTATAGTGATGAAATTGTGAATTATGCAAAATTGGTGAAATTTTTGAAAATTTCTATCTTGTATAAGTAAAAAACCGACCTGAAGCGGAATGGAGAAAAGCATTACTGATATCTGTAGCGAAAACATCGCATTCAACAGCTGTAGTGGACGAAGGTAACAATGGTGATACGAGCTCCATACTGCAAACATTTATTATTATAAATAAACAATCCTTTATTCATTTTTCGAAATGCCAGTAAATGGCAAATTTGTATTAATGATACGCAATCCTTAAAAATCAAAATGTGTCATTATGGAAAAAATAAGAGAAGTCAAAAGGCAAACATCCAATGTTTCTGAATGATTTTAGAGGAAGATTTAAAAGAAATCTTTGTTAGCAATATTAGATTAGACAAAAAAGTATCATGGAGCTCAAATCGTTTCAATTTAAATTATATCTATAAAACTAGATCATCTCACTTGTTAACGATGTTCACGACTTTCAAATCCTGATAATAATAGTCTGAAAAAGAAAAAAGAAAACTACATTTTTCAAGAAAAACGCTAGTATAAAGAAATTAAAAAGAAAAAAGAACAATATGATAAAAGAGATGAATAAATCATCGGATGAAATTTCATGTACTAAATTGTTGAAAATAACAACTGTAAGATTAATATCGAGTAGATTAATTATAAACGCATAACTTGATTTTTGGCTTCTACGCATGATGCAATTGATTTCACCCTCTGATGACATGAAGCATAACCGCATTGCGGAAAGAAATGATGCGATGAACTACAGGTCTATTATTATGATAACCAAACAAACCATTGAAATTTCTTTGCGGAGATATACGGAATTTAACTGAATTGAAATTGACCAAATCCATGCCAAATATGGAATGATCGATAAAAAATTGTAGAATATAGGGTACATGCGACTCGTACACTTGAAATATTGAATTCTTTCTTGCTTCCCTTTGTAGAGCGTCCGCTACACTGAAAATAAGAAATAAATGCAAGCTCTGACAAGTACAAAACAGAATAATCTATTAAAAACTGTAGAACGACGTACGCCAATGCAATTCATTCATTTGAAAAAGTGAACTCTTGTCATGTAGTCTGCACAAATCACATTACTCAGACTGCAAAAAACTGTATATATAAAATATAAAACTAAAATTCCGAATCCGAAGCGGATCTTATATCGCACAAAGCGTCATACCACTTCAACAGAAACATTATAGATTTTAGACATACATCTTAAGTTGAAGTGGATTGTAACAAAGAATCTGGACGAAATTTTCATTGTTTTTGTGGTAACCATACAATGATCTGAAAATTGAAAAGAACTAGAATTTTCTGTGTGATAGAATCAACTTTTGCTAATATTTAGTATACAATTATTTCTAATTAAAAAAGAAAAAAACCATCTTAATGATCTTATAGAAACATTAAAAAAAGTAATTCAGTTATTTTACCTGGCAGT